AAAAAAGAAATTGGCACGCAAGGGACGATTGAATTAATACCTATATTTTGCATAATGTTTTTAGGTTTACATCGTAGGCCACACGCCACCGGGGATAGACGATCGTGAGAGCGGCGCGGCCGTGTTGAGCGAACGTCACAATACCAAATATCTCCAGCTGATCCGTTTGTACTCGGACATCATTCGCGGTCAGTTCTTCGGTCACTGGCACACGGACACTTTTCGCGTGGTTTATAGCGATACCGGTACGTGTGTGTGTGTGCGTTGTTTCTTCTTGTTCGCAGTAGCGTGGCAGTGAATCAACCGTGGGGGCGGTCGGATCGATGAACAGGCATCGTCCAGCCACCCAAGCCATGTTCCATCTTTCACGGATGTGCTTGGTTCACCAAGTGGCTGTTTCTCATTCTTTCTTCGTTTCCTGCGTTTCACCTTACCTTTTTTTCGCTTCGACATTTCTGCTCGTCCAGCCTAGTTCGTAGCTTTCCCTCGCAGTTCGAAGGAGAATTTAGCATTTTAGCACAGACCCGCTTCCGCTTCTTCTCTCCTCTCCTGTTCTTCTTCCCTTTTTTCCTTGCACGCGCGCGCATCGAAATGGAAATGAAATCGACGTCCGTTGGCTCTTTCACCAACGTCTTTCCCTTGATTATTTCTCCACGCTGTTCTCGCAAAAACACTCGCTCGAAGCGAGTACCATTGATACACCGTATTCATTGATTCCGATGCTTTCGTTCTCTTTTGTCACCGGTGACTTTGCTCTTATCGTATTCGGCGGCTTTAGCGCCTTTGTCGCTGGTCGACTATAAAGCGAGTCTTTGTTGGCGATTCGACGACGTGACGGTTTGACTTTCTTAACGATCCGACACGTATTGGCCGACTTCGAAAGGCGTCCCACTTCAGGCACAAAGAGAGCCTAGAGAGAGAGAGAGAGAGACAGAGAAAAGAAAAAAGCAACGTCCCTTCGTTGCTTTATTACCAACTTACGTCACGGATGCGGCTTGACAGTAAAATCTATAAAATGCATTAAGCTTTGAGCAGGTAATTATTCCTATGTAGTTGCCGTAATGTAGATGTCGATCGATTGTAATCTAGGTATAAAGGAGAGCATAAACGGGCAATTTATTTCGATGTCGTAAGGTCAACGATCGCAGAAAAGCTGAAAGATCTGTTTAGAAAATTCCTGCCGGCTTCCGGTCCAAAATTACCAGCACAGCTTTTGTTTTTAACAATTTTTTTTTAAATTGCACCCGCTATATTTTCTGACGTTTCACAGATTCTTCGTCGTGTAAAGCGATTACTTTGTTCCTCCAATTTTCGAAATTAACACACACAGATCTTTTCTCAGGATTTTAAGAATAGTCTAATTTAAAAAAAACGTTCGACGAAGGTTTGACTTTTTAACTATTCGGTATTGAGTCAATACTCTGACTTTTGACATGAAAAACTTTATAACAATTTCACGTTAAGCAGAGCATCTTTCTTAATTTTTCGAATATATTAATATTAGAATGTTACATTGCCAGTAGCAGATAGATATTCTGTTCCGACGAATATTCGAGCCATTCGAAATATTCGCGCAAGGAAGCTTCTTTTGTATTACGTGGTAAATTAAACAAAAATAAGTTAGCTTTTTTCTAGGTGATTCACGAATATTCAAGTTACGTGTCTCTAAAATATCACGGAGGAATTGTTGTCACATTGAAACGATACAAACGGTACTTTCAAATATCATCAGGACGTAGAGGCACGACGAATAATCAGCTTTTCTTCGAATGCATTGCGATCGTTTCTCGAAAAATAACTTCGACGAGTATAAATCCTAGAGCCGGAAAGAGCGTGATCGTGAACGGAGGATGATACGATTTTACAGTGACGCATTGTACAGTGTTCGTGCATTCTGTCACGAGCTTTCCTCGTATTTTCCGCGCCCTGTTCCTTCATTCGCGACGCAACGGCGCGGAGGTCACGAGCGATAATCGATAAATTCCGTGCGTGTGTCGCCCAATGGCCAGAATACTTTCCCAACCGTTTCACAGTCCGCCTTTATCAGTCACGCCAGCGAGTTTCAAAATGTTCCGATCTCGTTTTACCTTCGCCTGCCTTAATATCCCGCCTCGTTTGCCCGTGAATATGTATTGTATGTATGTATGTATATATATATATGTGTGTGTGTGTGTGTGTGTATACGTCGCGAAACGCGGCGGAAACTGGAATTCGGTGAATAATCGATTTCGTCGTGGTTTCGACGTTTGTGTCGCTAGGTGTGCCAGTATCGTGGATAATGATGGCACCGAGTATATCGCCGAGCACACCAGGAGGCCCCAACAATCCAGGTTTAAGATTGTACAAATTCGAGACGACCACCGGTCAGGTAGGTTAAAGTTCAAATCATTTTAACGCCACCTGACCTTCATCAATTTCCGTCCGATCTGCCTGACAACATTTGAGATCGTCTACGACGATCACTCGGACGAAGGATTTTGCTCGCGAGAGGAGATCGTGCAACAACATTTCAAGGGATCGTTCTTCTAAGCGAAGATCTCGATCTAGAATTTGTCCATGTTCAATTTGTACAACTTTCGAAAGAAGAATCACCAAGGTTTATCCCCTTCGAAATAATCAAATAGTCTAAGAGTTGAAGGAATTTTAATATGTTTCTATTGTAATGAATTTTCAACGAGTAATAACCAATTATTGTATTATTGATTACAATCTAGAGTAGATATTGAAATCTAAGCGCGAAGCTTCGACTCTCACGACACTTTAAATTCGTTCTTTCGAAAGATGCTTTGGACATCGCTTCAAAGGGAGGGAGTAAAGGTACTTTGTTTCTCGAAAATTTTTCCGACGACAAGGGCGTCAGACGGCTTGAGACGATTTTTGTTTTCTTCACAAAGTTTCTTTAAGAGTTTACACGTGCCGAATATTTCCCACACCCGTTGTACATAATTTCTTGACTTGATATATTATACATGATACACGATACACGATATATGATACACGATATATGATATATGATACATGATATATGATATATATGGAGCACATGTGATATATGATATATGATACATGATACATGATATATCGTACACGACACACGATACATGATACATGATACACGATACATGATATATGATACATGATACATGATACATGATATATATGAAATACATATAATATATGATATATGATATATATATGTAGGATTCGTCGGCGACCTATTCTCTCCTCTCTGTTCTGTCGTATTCAGGTGCTGGATTATACGCAGTACTATCTTAATCTGCCGGACGCGAATTCAATCGGGACGGCAAACTGGTTGCCCGAGTACTCTCTGCTCGAGTACTACGAACTTCAGGAAATTACGGCGATCGCTCTTCACGACCTGGCCGACCGGTTCACGCAATTCAATGATTATGCTTTCGTCAGGTAGGTAAACGGCTCGACCGACAAATTTTTCCATCTGTCTGGTCGGGATACGTGACCGCGATCGTATCGTGGACAGGCATCATCGATCATCCGGGGTTTCCAGCGCACCCTTTCGTTCCCTTCTGCTCCCTACGGCTCGAGTATCTCACGCAGGAAAAAGAATTGGATTACTTTGACATATTTCCACCACTTTGGCGTTTCTCGGTCATTTTCTTTTCTTTTTTCTTTTTTCTTTGGTCCTCCGTTTGTTTGGTTCCTGCTGCGTGGCGCGCGAATTTTGTAATTTCCGGGACTTTTCGGGATATATCGTGAGTCATGCCTCGTATAGTTTTGCAAAAAAAAAGAAAAGGAAAAAATGGAGCAACGTTGGCGCGATTGAAAAAAAAGGGAAATAAAATTTTTACTGCTTCCCTTGCTTTCGGCTTCGTGTTCGAGCATTCTCAAAGCTTTTGAAAATTTTGCCAACGGTTCTCCAACGGATCTCGAAACGACAAAAATACATATGTTTCTCTGTTCGACGAACAACACTTTTTACACCGATTCGATCATTTGTTCCGACGCGTATATAAACGCAAGTTGACCCCAAATCTAGAAAGTTGGCTGTTTTTCGTAAAAGTAAAGTTTCTTTGTCGAAATGTCATCTCGATGAAGCACGTTACAATTTACATGTAGCTTGAAAAAAGAAAAAAAAAAATGGAGACGTATCTCCTAAACGATGAAGAATTGATTCCAATCGAAGGTGAGACAGTCCTCACATGGCTGAGAACACTGGAATTCTGCCTGCCTATAAACTCCGGAAAAATTCTTTCAATCTTCGCAGCCAACGGCGTAATTGAATTCCCCTTTAATTTCGCTTTCAAGGCGCCTCGTGCCCATCCCTTCGTGGTCGTGCCGCGGCCTCGTGAAACGCGCGATATCGCACGAACGGAGACCTTGAAAACTCGTGCACGCGCCGGCTCGAGTAACGGGATGACTGACGGTAAGTTGTTCGTGACAAAGTTGCGCGACCACGCAGCAGCTCTACCCAGGGATCGATGTGCTCTGACACTCTGCACGGTTACGTTCACGTGATCGCGACGCGGAGTGATCGCAAGAGAGAGAGAGAGAGAGAGAGAGAGGGAGAGAGGAGTTCTCTGCGTGATACAGAGCCGTGTCGGGTGCACATTAATAATTTCCATGTTTCTCGAGCAAGTATCCGATAAATTTATCCCGTCTGTGTCTGTGCGGGTGCTTGACGCTGATGACACTGTCCACCCTTTTCAACCGGAATCGCGTCATTACGATGCTAATGACTGTCCCGA